CCCCCCCTCTCAAGGAGAAAAGGAAAGAGCAGGGTCTTTGCTTAAATCGGTTCCTTGAAGCCACATAGGTCTACCCAGCTGGGCTGGGAGCGGAGAATGGAGAATGGCGAGGTGGAGACCAGGGGAAGGTTGAACGGGAGGTACAGCCTGGGTTCTGGGCCGGTGGCGTGCTCGCTGTGTCTCAGCCTCCTCGCTTCCGTATTCGTTACTCCTTCCCACCCAGGACCTGAGTCTGGTGTCTTGAAAACTTCTCGTGCCACCATTGTCTTCACTGACCAAATGGCTTGAGTTGGGGTCTTTCAGGACACCCCACCTTCCCACGCCATCCTGGCTCTTAGAAATCGTCTCCAAGAGCACATAGCCTGGAGGAGCTCGAACACAAAGGAATTTGTAGCTTAGTATTTATGCTGCCCAGAGAAAGCAAAGAATTAGAGAGATTAATCAGGGCCTTTCCTAAAAGAATCCATTTATCTGGCCTGACCTAAATATTTTAAGCAAAAGTGTTTGGGTGCAGCTGAGAGGAGAGTGGTCCAGAGTGACTTGGTAGAACAAAAGTGAACGAAACAAAACTAGAGTGGCCTTGTTGCTTTTATCTCCCCGTTCCACCGCCCCCCCCCCACCACCTGGCCTTCCAGAACGCGGGACAACTGGACACAATGACCTTGGACTGTCCAGTTCCCGGTGTAAATTTACAGCTTCCTCCAGGAAATGATTTTACAGCTAGGAGATTATGATTCAATTACATATTATGTGGGAGAAATATTGGGGACTCCGAACGGAAACAGTCAGGCTTCAGAGAGCCTGGGGCACACGTTTCCTCCCTTCAGAGACCTGGAGGAAGGAGAGAGGAACCGCCTCTCGCCTCTCCCTTTTTCAGCTGTTTGGAATTTGGTGTTTTCGGAGGGGGGCAGCGGAGACAGGATTAGGGAGAAGAGAGTGGGTTCAGGCAGGGACCGGGAGTCCCTGACACCACACCACACCTCCCGGTAACAGCCTCCGTCTACGAGCCTCTCTTGGATTCTCAGATGCCGTAAGGTAGCTGTCACTAACCCCATTTTACAGATGAGGAACCATAGACCCCCGTGCGTTGCTAATGTCGCTCCGTAGTTTCAAACCCCAGGGGAAGGACTGGAAGGTAAGGTGGGGATGTATCAGAAGAGGGGATTAGCGCAGCAGGGAAAGGGAAGGCCCGGGAGAGAGGAGAAAGGAGAGGGCCTCGGGCCTGGTTGTGACCGGGGGAGGAGGGGAAGGAGGAAGAGGACGAAGGTGAAGCACGAGAAAGACAGGTGCTTTTTTTTTTTTTAAACTCTTCTTGCAGCTGGTTGGAAATTCGTATTTGGATCGGCTGAGACTCATGCGCACAAGACTTCCAACTTCTGTTCCAACCACAGTGGGTTTATATTGTTATCGTGGGGCCTCATTAGCACGTCTGACCACAGGGTCTCCAAAGGAGGACGGGAGGCCTGAGGAAGCTGGCGGGTGGAGGGCTTACACCCTGCGGAACAAGGATCTCCGGGGAGAGGGGACGGAGGCCGGGAGGGACGTGGGGGTGAGTGCGTGCTGCCTGCCTTACCGTACATGTGGTGGTGCGCGTGGGTGTGTGGGCAGGGCTGCGGGAGAGGGGTGGGTGGCTGTGCCGGGGGCTGTGTCTGCTCATGAGGGTGACAAACTCAGTAACTTCTGTGAGGCTGGGGGTGTGTGACCCCCGTGGGCAGGAGGCTGGGCTGTCAGATCACGGATGCCTGGCTGCACCTAGGTTTAAGTCCACCGGAGGAACAGACACTCTGGGATCCGGGAGGCTCCTCGAAATGCAGACATCGCCGTGACACCACGGAGTCCTGCTGCCTGCCTCCCCCAACCTTTATGGCAGCTGAACCCGCTAGGAGCACTGGTGGAGTGGGGGTGCAGGGGCCTCGCTTGAAAGGGGTTCACAAGGGCCTCACCGGTTACCGGTTAGAAAATTTCTTTCTGGCTATCAACACACTTCTGTCTGTGTCCACGAGTTTTTAGTTCTATTCTTCAGATCTTGCAACATCCACCCATTCCTACTGGGAACCAAGTTCTAGGCTGGTTTCTTTACCCGTTTCGGTCCCCTGCCCTCATTCCAGCGCCCTCCTATTGAATTCTGAGTCCCAGAGTTCAAAGGCAATTTTCTCCTCAGTATCTGACTCAAGTTTTACATCATCACTCACACCCTCACCTGGGTCAGTTTTTCCCCAATTCAAGGCATTGCAAGGTCTCTCCAGTCGTAAGCAGCATCACCATCAGCAAGCCTGGGGAGAGACAGAAATGGAAACAGGCTGTGTGACCGAATGGGCGTCTGTGCTTCTGCGTGTCATTCACCAGCTACGATATCTCTGAGCTTCAGTGGGATGTTCACATAAGGGGGAGAAGAAGATGTGCGCTCAGGATTGTTGCATGGAGCAGACAAGGAATTGTATGTAAAAGATCTTGTAATATGTTATGGTATCCATGCGCAGAGAGTAATTCTCAGGGTACAGAAGGGTTAAAGGCCACGGTTTGGAACAAGGATTTGAAAGCATATGGTTGATCTCAGAATGCAAACAGGGTAGCTTTTCAGTATGTTCTTGACTGAGGATCTCACAACATTTAAACTTGAGGAAGTTCCTCCTTTTCCAGCTTCGGAGTTGAGGAGGGACTCCTCGGGACCTGGGTAGGCAGTGTCTGAAGCGTGGGGAGAAGGAACAGCCTTCGAGAAGCCTGTTAAGAGGCTAGAGTCCGCAAGGGCAGAAGGGCCATTGTGTTTTCTGTTCTTTACGGATCTTACCACCTACTGGTAGAGAGCTTACAACTGGTAAACTGAGTTATGGAGATAGAGAATGTGGCACGGGTAAATGGTAACTCCAAGTGTATTCCATTAAGTTTCCAGAATGACAAAAAACACAGGTGTTAAATTTAAGGACCGGTTAGGTAGTGGGTAGAATTAACCAACCAAATAGAGACCTGCCTACCAGCATACAGACTGAGCAACTTTAAGAAGAGGTGTTTTCTCTCCTCTTGCCTCCCAGCCCCCACCCCTACCCCAACCCCCAAGTCAATTCCCAAGGCTCGTAACCCACCAGAGAAGCCTAGGCCCCTCTGCGTTCTTCTGGGTCTGGAAGTCCTTCTTGAAGTCTACAATTCCCAAGGTTTGGGAATTGGAATATTCTGATATCTATTTATTCCCCACCTTCCCACCCTAATGCTCTGGAGACAGATTGACCTTTCCGCCTGCCTTCCTTTGCTATCAAGACCTCAGAGATCATGGGGGGTTATGGCGCTGGCTCATCCAGGGGCAGGTGTGCCAACTTCCCTGCAGGATAAACGAATTTAGGTTAATGTTTTAAAAATCATTGGAGGGAAAGAGTAGACAAAAGTATGAAAACCATTCTTGGAGCTTTGAGGAAAATGAGAAGCAGGGTTATAGAAGGTAAAGGTGAGTAGCTGCATATTCAGGTGGGAGAGAGCTGGGAGAAACAGGGGAGCCCTTCATTGCCACCCAGGCTCTCCCAAGGCTCCGAGTGACACCCCCCTCCTCCTGCCCTAATCCCCCCATTAAGGCTGCTCTGAGTTTGTTATGACAGCGGCTGAAGGCAGCTGAATTGCTGTTTGCTGTGTCTGCTAATTGGACTGAAGGGTTGGAATCTGGACACTGAAAGAGACCATTGTTGCTGTTTACCTTCTACAACTGCCTCCCTGGGGACCTTCTGGGTGAAGGGGAGCAGCATGCCCCCAGGATCATTGCACCCATGCCCTGTCTCTGCACAAGGGCCTGGGATGGGGACACAGTTCGTCTCCCTGCCTCATCTCATTGGGACGGTTTGAGCTTCCACAGCACCAAAGAGGCAAGCTCGATGCCTGAGTCGGTCTCCAATCCAGATCAGGCCTGGGGCCACCAGGAGGTCCCAGGAGATGCTTTCCTTCCTGCTTATTCCCTTCCTCTTCAGGGGCCCTGGCTTTCCCTCCCCCTCCAGCTCATCAGGCTTAACCCCTGTACTTTTTCTTATGTGCTTTCTTCCAGGCCAGTGATTCTCAACTTGGTTATGCACTAACCTGGGGAGCATTAGGAAAAAAAACTGATGTTGGGGTCCAGCCCCAGGCCAATGAAATCAGAGTATCTGGGACTGAGGCCTAGACATTGGTATCATTTAAAAGTTCTCTCCGTGTTTCTAATGTGCAGCTAGGGTTAAGAACCACTGATGTAGGCTTACCTCTCTGCCCTGGGACACACCCACACCCCCCCCCCACACACACACCTGTGCACACATACACAGGCACACACATGCCCTTTCCTATTTCCCTGCCTTTCCTCTCGAGCTCTTGATGGTTATAATACAACTGAGCAGATTGTGTATCGTCAACTATGCGTCTTTCCCAACCTTATTTCTAAACTCCTTGTAGGAACCTTAGAATTTAGGATGGAATTTAGAGGTCGGTACCCTGTCAACTGCCTCAACCCGAGCTCTTCCCCAAGAGCAGGAACGATGATGACTGTAACTCCCTGTGGATTTCCAAATAGGATCCAGATGGAGACTGAGTTAACCTATGACCCTTAAGTCGTTAGGGATGAAGGGGTGTGAGGTTCAGAGTTGCAGGGACCCTTGGGCTCCTCCTCCCCCCAAGTAGCACTGGCAATTTGGACATCTTCCCAGAGGAGAGACTTTCCTCGGGGGTGTCTGCGCCCTTGCTTACTGTTTCCCAATGTTTCCGCTTCTTCTCTTCCTTTTAGCTTCTCACCTGGGGCGGGTGGGTGCTCGCCACCCTCCCGCCCGCTTTCCTCCATTCCTGGGCCAGAGCCGCGTCCAGCACCACGGACAGCTCCCGGGCGGTGAGTAGCCGGCCTGCAGGCCCCCTTTGGGAGGCTCACGAGGGGGTCTTCTCTCCTCTCTAGATTTTATAATCTGTGGGGACTGTTTGCAGGCAGCTGCGGGGTCTCAGGAAGAGGGAAAAGCTGGGGGCAATTGGCATTCCATCTCCAGGAAATTGGGTCTGTCCTCTTCGGGGAGTGGGAACTGAACGGTGCGGGGGTGGGGTGCTGTTGCAGCGGTGGGAAGGATGAGAGGTGGATGCGGGAAGTGTGTACCCTAAACTCATGTAAGGTCAGCCAGAGCCAGGATGAGCCTCCGCCCTATATCCCTCATTTTACAGATCCCAAGAGAGTGGAAGAGTCATGCCCAAGGTCACTCAGCTGGGTGGTGGAAATGCCAAGAGGCAGCCTCCTCAAGTCCAGCCCGGCCCTGCCCACTGTGTCTGATGTGTCCTGTAGGAACCTCCCTGCCTGACTCGCGTGCGTGCGCAGGCCTAATGCTGGTCGGGAGGGTCACAGGTTGTCCTTGCACGGAAAGGGACAGAGCACGTGTCTGGGCGTGTGAGGTGTCCACACAGGCAGGGAAGAGGTGGGCCCAACTGCTCTCTCTGTCAGAGGTTTGCAGGGGAGGCCTCAGAGAGAAGCACAGGGGAAGGCATACCTAGCAGTGGCTGGCAAGCCCACGGGGAAAGGGGCAGCCATCTGCCAGGGCACAGAGGCCAGCGGATGGCCACAAGGAGTCTCCAGAGGCCAGCAAGAGCCACGCAAACTGGAACGGGGCCTGGGAAAGGCCCTTCTGTGTGCCCAGGCCTGCTCCTCCGACACCGGGAGCCCAGAAACAAAGGGGCTATTCTCGCTAGGATGTGATGCCGCCATCTCCGGCTGGCAGTGCCAGGTGGTGGGGGCATCAGGGGGTGTCAGTCTATTACGCCCCCCCCCCAACTCTTAGGTCCTCTGGGGCTGGATGTTGGGGAGGTGGGTGTTCCATGCTATGTTGCCATGGCAACCGCCCCAGCCCCCACCTTCCAAAGCACAAAGAGAGACAGCTTTCACCCCCACCCCCAGGAAGAACCTGGGTCTGGTTGGGAATCTTCCCTTGGGAATCCTCCTTTCTGAATCACAAGCCTTGGCATGCATGAGCATCAGCCTCCTTTCAGCACTGGAGCCGCACAGGCAGGGAGGCTGGTGCATCCAGAGACTCTGGGAAGGTTGTGCGAGGGAGCCGGAGTCCCCTGTACTTAACCCTCTCCACCCTCAAGCTCTCCTGTCCCTCACCTACAGCCGAGGCCATCCTCAGCCTTCTAAGGTGATGGGGCCTTGACCTTCGGCTCTCTCCCAGAAGCGAGGGACACCCTGCTACCCCCAGCCAGCCTCCAGGCTGTGGGAACGGGAGAAGAGGAGGGGGGTCATTCCTGCCACCCTCCGCCATTACTCATTAGGCATTCTGCCCCCTCCTTCCGCTCGTTAAGCCTGATTTGCATACATTTGCATAATACAACTCATTTGCATTCCAGGAGGCTCATGGTAGGAGCCAGAAAAAAAGGGGAGGGGGTTGGAGAAGAGAGAAAAGGGGAGAGATTTTGTTTTCATCAAAGTGTGTGTGGGGGGGGAGGTGGCAGGAAGAGGACAGAAATAAAAACTCACACTACTTTCTTTCTTCCCTTCTGCCGTCCCTCCCTGAGCTGGACTCAGATGCCAAAGAGAGATGCCAAGGGGCCGGCTTTTCTGTCCTTTTTTGTCTTGCTTCCTCCGGCCTTGGCTCCCCAGCCTGGCCCCCCACCTTGTTGGGCTCGGGCTTCAGAGAGAGAGAGAGAGGCAGGGGTAGGAGGCAATGCTGTGGGAACGGAAGCGGAGGGCGAGTGAGGTCGCCATGTGAGGCAGCTGGCACCCCTAAGATGGCGGGCTCTGACAGGTGGACGGACGTGGCGGGGGCTGAGGCCCCGGGAACCCAGGAAGGACTTGCTGGCTGGCCGGGAACATGGCTGAGGCTCCTTGCTAGTAGAACTGGGGAGAGCGGACGGGAGGGATGAGGCATGGCAGCCCCAGAGGAGAGTGAGGCTGGCACAGGAGCAGGGCTGGTGGGGCGGCCTCCCGTTCACTCACAGACCCCATGAGCACCCGGTGGTCAGAGGACTTGACGGAGGATCTTATGGACTGGGTGATGCACAAAGACTGGGGGGGGGGGGTGAGAACTGGGGGGAGGGTAAGGTGTGGGCAGGCAGGACCGCCTGCCAGTTTGACGGTCTCTCTGGGGCCTTGAAGGGCTGTCGTGTCCTCGAGGTGGAGCTCCAGGTTTTCCCTGCTCAGCCTGGCGGTCTGGCTTCCCTCGTCTCGGCCCTTGTGAAGCTACACCCTGGAGACCACCCACGGCCCCGCCAAGGGCCCGCCGCCCACCCCCACCTCAGGCCAGGAGACCTCTGCAGCGCAGCCCCCGCTGGCCCCGGTCCTGCCTCCTCCTGTTACATCCTCGCTCATGCGTCCTGGGTTCTGGTCATTCAGTCTTCCAGGTCTTCATTTGTGAGTGCTCCCCAGGGCTCCACGGTCCTGCTACGTTTATCGCGTCAGCCATCGTGGGCTCTAGACTTCTAGAAACCTGCCCGCTTCATAGGTTCTGGCCTCTCTGAACTCCAGATCTGTCCCCTCACTGCTCTGTGTGTGCTCCTGCCCTTAGCTCCTGGGGCAGAGGCTGGAGAGGTGCCCCTGCTTGGGTTCCACCCAGGCCTCGACCAGTGCTCGAGGGCTGGGAGCACTCCTGTGCTTTTGGCTTCCCTGGTGGCGAAGAAGCCAGCCTCCCTCCCAAACCGCAAGGTGGCCACTCCCCAGACGCGGTCCAGGGTCCCGGTGCTCGCTGGCTCAGCATGTGCTCCCGCCTCCCCCCTCCACCTGCGGTGTCACCAAACTGCTAGGCCCTCGGGTCCCTCCCCCTCCACATCACCCACGTGAGCACCATCCCTTCCTCCCAGGCAGCGCCTCTCGCACCCACGCCTTCCTTTCGCTTGGCCCCTGCCTCCGTGGCTCATTCCGTCAACAGGCGTGTGCCGAGTGCCGCTGGGTGAAGGCGGAGGTGGGGTTCGGGGCCCGCTCTGCGGAACCAGCAGTCTGGCAGGGAGGGCGGACAGGCACCACGGGACACCGGGAGGACCGTTGTCCTGAAGACCTGAGCCAGGCTCCGGGGAGCATGGGGCCGGGGCAGGCAGGGAGGACCTCCTGGAGGGGCCGAGGGGCAAGTGGTGACAGGTGAGCAGGAGGTCGTCAAGTCCAAGGTGTGAGGGAGCGGGCGGTGGTGAGGGGCCAGCTGATGTGAGGGGAGGGAGGAAAGAGCAGGCTGGGCTGGGGACGGAGCTGTCGTCACAGGGACTCTGGGCTGGGAGGAGATGGGGCACGGAGGCTGAAGTGGGTTACCGAGGGAGCCTCATGTGCCCCAGCAGGGGGGCTGGACTTGCAGGGTGCTTAGCTGACAGCCTCAGAGATGCCGTGTATGGGGGGGGGGGGGGTTGGACGGCGAGCAGCACACAGCCCCTCCCAGGAGGGACAAGGACACGGCATCCAGCTGCCTGCTTAGCCCAGTGCCCAGCCGGACGTTTCATTGGCTCCTGCTTAGTTCTGCAAATGAGGGAGCAGAGGCCTGGGAGCCCCCCAGGAAGAGTCTCTGCCCCTCCCCCAGACTCACCCCACCGTCCACATGCGTGCCCCCGCTTACACAGGGGGTAGGCCAGTGGGGGCTTCCTGGGAGAAGCACGGGTGCCCCGGGGGCAGCACAGGAGATGGGCCGCTGGGGACTGAAGAGCAGAGAGGGGGCTCGGCCCTGGAAAGTCCCTGGGAGACGGGGTGCGGGAAGGGGTGCGGGCTATCAGGCGGGGAGATCCTTCCTGGAGAAGGTGGCGGAAGGCTGGAGAGGCATCTGAGGAGCTGCTGTGGCCACCGGGGGGAGGGGGAGAGGGAAGTGGGGGGGCCGGCCCCCGCCCCTCCCCCAGGCCCAGCCTTTGCACAAAGGCTTCTCTGTGAGTGGCCACGGAAGTGGCCTTGTCAGGTGAGGGGGCTTAGCTCCCGGGGCCAAGGGGTGGGTGGAAGGGGATTGGAGGAGGGGAGGGCTGAGGGGTAGCCTCAGGCTTTAACCAGATCTGGGAAGGAAATGGAGAAGCTGACACCTAGCCAGAGCCTCACAGTGAGGCCAGTGAGGCCCTGTCCGAACCTTCCCAGGACAGGCTCCTCTCCACGGTCCTGTCAGGCCCCGCGGGCCCCCAGCAGCAGGGTCCTGCTGCCCGCCTCCTTCCTTGCTGTAACTCCCTCCACCCCGGCCCCTCTAGCCTCCCTTCCTGCCCTTTCACGGGGCTCCCCAGCTCCTGCATGGGGCTCCCTCGCTCGCTCGGGGAGGGCTGTGTTGGGAAGGTAGAAAGAAGCCAGGGCCCAAAAAGAGGCGCGAGGCTGCCTTAGACTCCACACCCAGTCTTGTCCTCCCCCGGGAAGGTGTCTCTCGTTGCCTGACCTGAGTGCCGCCTGCTGTCAACCAGCGTGTGGATAGACCCCTGCCCCACCCCCAACGCCTTGTTGCGCACACTGTTCCTTGTAATAAGTGTGTGGCTTTGGGCCCCCGGAGCAGCAGAATGGCAGCGGGCACCTCGTCGGGCTGCAGGCTGCTCACAGGTTGGATAGCAGGGCTCCATCCACAGGACGGACAACAGAAGGAGGTTTTGGTTGTCGACTCTGAATCAGACAGGCCGGTCAGGAGACCCTGGCTTCCCTCCCTTGCTAGCTAGGTGACCTTAGGCAAGTCACTTACTGTCTTTGGACCCTAACTTCCTTCCACGGTTACTCCGAGGGATCAGCTGGGTCGGTGTGAATGAGGGTGAGGCCATGTGCAGGTGGACAGTGCTAATTCTAGAGGGACACAGAGTTAGAGGGGCCACTGAGGTGGGGACAGTCTGGAAGGGCTTCTGCGGCTTGGAAATGAGGGCACGGATCGCTGGGGAGGAGGGGACCGGGAGGGACTCGCAGTCCGTGATGAAGGCCTGTCTGAGGGCGGGGCTGGGCTCCGGGCGCTGCTGCCCAGAGCTCTCGTGGGCTCAAGCAGGCAGGTGTCTTGGTGGCCATCCTCCTCAGGAAGAGCTTCCCCTTAGGGCCGGTGTAGACACCGTCCAGCAGCCCTGGGAAGAGCGAGGGTGGGGTGAGGGTCCCCCACAGTGTCCTAACCCTGCTTGCTTCCCGCAGCCCGCATCTCGTCCTTCTCCAGAGGGAGCGCTAGCCGGACATCGTGACGCTCCAGCGAATGAGCCCAACGTGGTCCCTCCAAGCCCTGCCGCCCAGCCCAGGACTCTCTCAAGTCCCCGATGATCTTATGCTCCTCAGCATTGTCAGGAGTGAGCTGAATTCAGACGTACTGAGGTCCCTCAGCCTATGGGCCAGGGAGACTTTGAGCAACAGGGGCTTTTGTCTCGAAGCGGTCATTCCTTGTTGTACAAGCAAGAGCTGGGAGGAAGGATGGTTTGGGCATCATCCCCCACTGATAGCAGTGGAGCCTGTAGGCCTGCAGGGAAGGACCAGGCTGAGGCTGGCATATGGAGGGAGAGCCCTGGGCACAGGGGCATGAGCCTCACCCGGCCAGGGCTACCTTCTGCCGGGTTTGTCCATCTGGCACCAGCTGGCTTTCCAGCGCTGCCCCCACCGCCAACCGGACTCCTTCTGCTTCTGTTGCCATAGCAACTGGCTGCCATCTTGTACTCGGGGCACTATCTCCTATCTGGATTTTCCCATGGGGTTCCTGGAGGATGGGACGTAGGTCTCCAGCGATGTATCCCTTCCTCCTGATCGCCATCCAATAAGAATGGCCACGATGGGGGCCAACGACACGTCAGGCTCTGTGCGAAGTGCTCCCTACGTGTTATTTAACACGGCAGAGAAAGCATCCATGTGATCGATTTAAAAGGCTCCCAGTTTCTTGTTTCTATGACAGACCTTTCCTCTCTCCAACCAGGAAACACCACGATCTTCCTTATTCTGTCTTGCAAGGTCCTTGCCAGTGTCTAACTGAGACCTGTTCTGCTGAAGTACCAGTTCTCTGACCCTGGGCTTGACCTGGCTAATTTGAGAGGTAAGGAACGGACTGCCACCTGCTTTAGTCACTTTATTGGGCTTCGTGGACTCCAACTGATGGCCTAGGGAAACACACATGGGTACCTTGGTGAGGTCCGAGTGCGCCTTAAAGACTTGGGGACACAAGTCTGCAATCTTTTGTTCAGAGGGGCACCTGGCTGGCCCAGTCAGTAGAGCATGCGACTCTTGATCTCAGCGTCATGAGTTCAAGCCCCACATTGGGTGTGGAGGCTACTTAACAATAAAACAATGATAATAATAATCAATGAGTGAATAAAATCTTGTTGGGAGAAGGGGAGTCAGTGTCACAAAACGCTTTGAAATTTCCCTTCCTTGCCCCCATCCCCACCCAAAGAGAAAAGCCGGAACCAGAGGCCATCGGAAAGGGCTAGTCTCTCAGGCCCTCAGCGGGGGGGGGAGTCCCTTAGGAAGGCGGGCTCCCCGCTCCTGCCACTGGGGAGGTTCCAACAGGGTCCCTGAGAGATCCTGAGATGGTGAGAGTTCCCTCCCTCTGGAGCTCCAGCACAAGGCAGAGAATGGTCACCTTGACCTAGAGGGGCATCTATCTCTAAGGGGCACTGAGCAGGGGCCAGCTTTGCTGAGGGAATCTCCAATGAGGGGCAGGTGGGGAGAGAAAGGAGGCCATTCTCAACTGAGGCAGGGTGGGCTGGCAGGGAGGGGCTGGGGATAATTTATGATATCATTGTTTCCCAGCCCCCCTTCCCAGCCCCCCTTCCCAGCCCCCTGCTACTGTACTGTTGCTAGGAGATGCTGGCTGTCGGTGTCTGGGCTGGGAGGGCGGAGCCGACAGACCCTGCTCCGTCTGGACTCCTCCTCCCCACCTGCGGGGGAGGGCCTGCTCTGAGCTTCACCCACCACCCCTCCCCAGGCCCCGACACGCACCTTCTCTTCTGTTGTCCCCCAAATCTAGCCAGCCTGGGGCTCGTGGGGCTCGTGGGGCTCCCGGGCGGCCTGAGGATCTGGGGCAAGGAATGGGACAGTGAGCAGTGGAGGGAGAGGCTGGCAGACTCAGCGGGGGTGCTTAGGAGTGGCCGGCTCACCTCAGGGCCTCTGGGAGCCAGCCCGGGGCAGGACGAGCGCCAGGGGAAGTCGGAGGCCTCGAGGAGCCCAAGTTCAAGGGAGACAAGTCTTTCCCTTTGGGGAGCTACCAGTACAATGGGTGAGGCAGACCCCATCCACACCCCTCCACGGTACCGCCCCAGTCAAGGTCGGGGGCCTGTAAAGACCATGTTTAGGGGCAGGGGTGGGAGCGAGAATGGAGGTAGGGCAGGCAGGGACGTAAGGCTGGGCCTTCTGGTCTGAGCGGAGCTGGGCAGCGCAGGGGCTCGGACCCCCCCCCCCTCCTCTTCCGGAGATTCTCTTTTCAGATTTTAAAGCCCTTGGAGAAGTCAGATGGGGTGAACCTCAGGGACTCCCGAGGCCGCTGGCTCCTGACCCCGGCCGGGGCAGGGGAGGGAGGCCGTGGCCACGGTTGTGCCCCTGACGCAGATTTCTGCGTGGCCCCTGCTCGTCCTGTTCATTCCTAGGTGTCGAGGCTCCTCGGTCTCCCCCACCCCAGGAAGGAAGGGGTGACCTCGATTCCACACCCGCTTGCTCACGCGAGCAAGCCGTCTTCTCTGTCAACCTGCTGCCAGGCCTGGGCTTCTGTCCCCCACTTGGCAAAGCTGCAGTCAGGGCCCCACGAAGGATGTGTGGGTCACCCCGCGTCACGGGGCTGGTAAGTTGGGCTTCAGATGGGGCCCGGTGGGTCCCCCGCAGAGGCTGCGTCCCTCCCCTGTGGCTCCAGCAGAACACCTCCTAACACACTCTGAGTGACTGAGGGGCGGAGCCCGTGGGCAGGTGGGAAGCCGCAGGATGCTATGGCCCTCTTTGGGGGTGAAGACGGGACTGGAGAAGAGACCACGGTTGCTGCAGAAATCACCCAAACCTTCCCAGGTTTGTCCTTGGCCAACGGAAGCATGCTCCCCACCTGGTGCCGAGTCCCTTGGGCCTTTACCTCTCCCCTGCTGGGGACCTGAGTCCCTCGCCCTGTCATGGCCTTGGGCAGAGCTCCTGAAAGACACGCCCAGCCTCAGCCCTCCCCAGCCCCCTGCCTTTCTGGTGGAGGGGAGCTCCGAGGGCCGCTGGACACTCTCCCTGGAATTGTGTCCTCTGCTTCCTGCTAAGGTCTCCATCCAAAGAGAACCTTTTTCACTCTTGCCATTTTTTCTTTTCAGACCGAAAAGAAGGACTTATTGCACCCAGCTGGCATGGGTTCCCTCTGAGAAGCCCTCCTGGATTGATCGAAGTGGCAAGACCCCAGCTCCATCCTGGGCTGCCCGTTACACCCGGAGCCACCCGGGAGAGGACTTCGTCCCACCCTTGCTCCCGCGGCCACCGCTGTCCACCCCGGTCCATCCCAGTTCCTGTGGCGTCTGAGCTGAGAGTCCTCTGAGATGGCGGTCCCGTCTCAGTTCTAATAAAGACTCCTGAATGTTGAACCAGTCCGGGTGGTGGTGATGTACCTGGGCAGGGTTGGGAGGGGAGGGCTCCCTCGGAGAGACCCTTGCTGGGGGAGCCCCTGTTGCAGCAGAAGGGGGAGGGGAGCCTCACTAAGACAGAACTCCCCGCTGTGGGTGTGGGGGGGGGGGAGGGAAGACCTCCTCAGCTACTTCCACTTCTGTCAGCCGTCCCAGGGCTCCTGGCAATGCCATCAAGGCTCTGGTCAGTCCCAGCTCAGAATGCTGGGCAGATGCTCCCAGCAGCTCCCCAAATTGTAGTTTGAAACCTGGATTTTTTTTAAGCTTATTTATTTATTTTTTTGGGAGGGAGGGACAGAGAGAGAGGGAGAGAGAGAATCCCAAGCTGGCTCCGTGCTGTGAGCGGAGTCCTACGTGGGGCCCGAATTCACAAACCGTAAGATCGTGATCTGAGCCAGAATCAAGAGTTGAATGCTTAACCGACTGAGCCAGGCAGGCGCCCCCAAACCTGGAATTTTTCTAAATAAAAAGGCTTAAGATCGTGTGCATGGCACACTTTCAACAGCACAAAAGGGAAAGTATGTCTCCTTCCCACCCTCGTCCCCGGCCACCCACCTCCTGTCCCAAGAAGCAACCACTGGTCCCCGGGTCCTCCCGGAGACAGTCCATATGCCTCTAAGCACATATGTCTACAGCCTCCCCCACCGCTTTCGTTTAAACACTGACCACAGCATTTTTAGCCCCCTAGGCCAGGACTCCTACAGAGGAGGCTGGCATCTGCTGGAATTGCATGCAGAATGCTGGCTAGGCACCTGTACCCTGTTTCTTGGAAGAAGGGACACATTAAGGCCACCTGCTCTAGTCCAGCTCTCCATTTTACAGAGGAAACTGACGTCGGGGAGGAGAAGGGCCACGTCCAGGGTCCTCAGCATGGTGGGGGCCCGTCGGAAGAATGCCAGGCTCCCTGCACCTGCGCACCAAAGAGCCCCAGGGTCTCTTGCCAGGACAGGGTCTCTGAGGGCTGACTCAGGCCCAGGATGCAGCCAGGAAGAGGCATTTCCATTTGTATCACAAATGTGGCTTATTTAAGAGACTGAGCTTGGGCCCCCCCAGGCCTGGCTAGTGCTTCTGAGGCTCCCAACCCTCCCTTTGAGACCCTCCATGCTGTCCAGCCTTGCAAGGACCCCCTGCAGTCCCCCACCCCGCACCGGGTCAGTCTCTGGGGAAGAGGGGTGAACAGGGACAGAGTCTGGCCTGGGGTCAGCATGATGCGCCCAGCTCCGGCCTGAGCACCAGTCTTCACAGCCTCCTTCTCCTCTGGGTACTGGGGACCCTGTGCAGGGAGAGGCAGCCAGTGGCCTCCCGGCTCGCAAAGGAGGTTTCCGGTGAAGGCCAGGCGCTGGGACAGACCGGGTGGGCTGCCTTTTGGAAACAGAAAGACCCAGACCCAGACAGGGGCAGAGCGGGTGGGGGCTCTCCTTCGACAGGGATGCCAGCACTGGGGTGGGAGGGTCCAGGCGGGACACTTCGGAATGTGCTCTCAGAGTCCCACCGAGCTATGCAGATGAGGCCTGTCTGTATGCAGATGAGACCGTCTGTATGCAGATGAGGAGAAAGGGCATTCTCTTCTCAGGGTTACCATAGAGCCCAGCCCACCCCCGGCCCTCCGGCCCTCCGGGCCCCAGCTGCAGGGCAGCCTGGGAAGAGGCCAGGCTGGGGACAGACAACCTGTGGTAGGTTAGACTTCGGGAAGGACTGACCCAAGGCAAATGGGCTGTTCTGAGGAAGGAGCTGGTGATAGAACTGAGAATGCAAGAGGGACGGCTGGGAGAGCCAGGCCGAGATGATGGGGCGAGCCATGACAGAACCCGGCAGACAGCTGCGAGCAGGACAGGAAGGAAGGGCTGATCTTCCACTCCACGCCAGGTCCGCTGGCTCTCCTGGGGTCCTGGCGATGCTCCTGTGAGCCTTTCACAGACAGAGAGGCCCCGACAGGCTGACGGACGCGTCTAGGACACAGTTTGCAATGGCGGGGCCCTGGCCCGTCCGGCTCCGTGGCGGGCAGCCACAGCCTGGAACCCTCCTACTCCTTCCGGGGGGGGGGGGCGGGGGCAGGCAGGCACTCAGACGGTTCCCTCTGCCGCGGGGGAAGGGGACAGTGCTCAGGGTTAGGGGGCTGTGCCCGGCCCAGCCCAGGGGCGCTGGCTGGGTCTCAGGCCCAGGGAGGGCCTGTGGGGGGCTGGAGGGGGTAGCTGAGGGCAGATACCAGGAAGGGGACAGCAGGTTGAGGAAAGATGCCAGGGATAACCCAGTGGGGGAAACTGAGGCCACAGAGATTGGGAGGGTTGCCGTCCTCACTGAGCAGATCCAAGCCCGAGCTGGGCCTGGACCCAGGGCCCCTTCCTGGGGGTGCAGAGGCCCAGAGTGGGGGTGTCTTTGAGAACGGCCTCTCCTCTTCCTCCGGCGGCCCCCGGCCCCTCCACCCCCCACCCAATGGGGTAGCCAAGGCCTTTGTGGGGAAGCGGCAGGGAAGAGAGGCCCCTTGTCGGCCCTTCATCTCGCCGGAGGTTCCGCCGATGCCAGCCCCCCGGCACCGGCTGGGCTCTCCTTCCTGGGGGTGCCAGCCGCCCCCCGCCCGCTGCCACTGCCCGCTCCCCAGCCCTGCCGTTTCCTGGAGCCTCAGGGCTTTGGCCCCGGGCCCGGCTGAAGGATGGCGGGTGCCCCGGCCCCAGCGCCTCCCGCGTCTCCCCTTTCACACGCTGGCACCAGAGCCGTGGGAACGCCGGGCGGCAGCTGGGCACCGGTGCCCAGCTCTGCCCACCCCCAGCCCAGCCGACCTCGGAGAGGGGAGAGCAGAGCGGCAGGCAGGCTGCCCCAAACAGCCCCTTCAGGACGGGCCCTAGAAATCCTTCGCACTAATTATGAATCTGGGGACAAACAAGGCATTTGCAAGTCAATTAGTGACAGAACTTTCCCAGGAAAGAGTTTCGTCCAGGCTCAGCTTCACACAGGGCCACATGCTGGGTCATCTTGTCCCTCCTCCTGTCTCTGCCCTGCTCGAAGCTCAGGGAGAGAGGCCGCCCCTCTGCGGCCGAGGGTGCCAGAGCCCAAGCGGGCAGGAGGCTGGAGGTCACTCGAGGGCTGCCGCAGGGAGGCGTCCTGTCAGGGTCCACCTGCCCGGACAGGGTGACATGGGTGGGTTGACAGGAAGGTGGACGTCATTGTGGAAAGGCGGGGGGTGGGGGTGGGGGAATCTTCCCCGAGCACAGAGACGCCAAGAGGAGGCTGAAGCAGGAGACACGCAGCCCGAGGGGGCTCAGCCGCATCCATGGGAACTTCAGGTGGGCCTAGGGCCATCTGGGGCCACTTGTCACAGAGAGGGAGGTAGGGCGTGGTGTTGCTCTCCCAGGCCTGGGAAAGGCGCTCTCTCTGCCTACGGGACCCCTTAATTGGGGGACGAGGGGGAGGGAAGGGCTGCTGGGGCAAACGCCCCTAGAGCCGCCCCGCTAGCCATCTGAGGGAGATTAAGGGATTACAATTAAAAGGCGTTTGCAGAGCGAGCAGGTGGGTTGGGGCTGTGCTAGCGATCTAATTGCCCAATTGCTGTGCCCGGGCTCTAATGAGTGGGGGTGGGCTTTTCGGGGAGGGGAGGGCGGGGCCTGGGGGGTGGGGCCTCACCTCGAACACACCTCGGCTCGAGGGGGTCACGCCCACAGGCTCCCCTGCTGCCCTCCCTGAGGACTCAAGAGGAAGCAGCCTGACGAGGCTTCCCGGGCTGGACAAGGGTGTTCGGGCCAGAAATGAGCAAAGAGGGTGCTGAGCTCCCGACCAGAGGCGCCGTGAACACGGGGGATGGTTAGGGCGGACTCTTGTCAAGCACTGTGCTAAATACTCTATAACGTGGGTAATCCCCGCGACCACAGCAGAGCCTGTCTGCGCCTCTGCGGGGGTCCCGCTGACCAGGGGCGGCTCCCTTCACAGCCACCCTTGCCAGGAAGGGACAGATGGACAAACCCTCCCTAGACTCGGAAAGGCCCCAGGCTGAGGGTCCAAGCACGCCCGGTTCCGCGAGGGCCCAGCCTCTCTCTCCTGCGAAAACCACGCTGGAAACCTGGACGCACAGCGGGCCTCACACAGCTAAGCCTTTGCACAGCCTGTTCCCGCTTCTGCGAGGGCCACCCCTTCCGCTCCTGTCCGGCCCCTCGGAGAAGTCTTCCGCTCCCCGCCATCCGGGGCTCCCCGCTCTTGAGGGTTATCTCTGGCGAGGGGGTGCCTAGCACGCATTTAGGAATTACATGAGTGGCCTGCAGGCCGGCGGCCCTTCACGTTCAGACACTAAAGGCCCTGATGGAGAGCAGCTCTGGGGGGATCCCCAAGCAACCGGGATGGGGATGTGAACTGTCTCTGGAAGGGACCTGGGGGTGGACCCTGAGGCACGAGGGGGACTGCCTACTGTGCGCCGTGGCTCCCGAGTGTGGTGAAGAGATTACTTATTCGGAAACAATTACATTTAATTTAAAATAGTAATGATTGCAGCTTTTTAAAAGGTTTATTTATTTTGAGACAGAGAGAGGAGCACAAGAGGGGAGGGGCAGAGAGGAGGAGAGACAGGATCCCAAGCACACGCCGCGCCATCCGTGTGGAGCCCGACGCGGGGCTCGAACTCACGGAACCTCGAGATCATGACCCGAGCCACACTCAGGAGCCGGACCCTTAGCCAACTGAGCCACCAGGCACCCCGACTATTGCATCGTTTTTCAAGGCTGGGGAAAAACGTTTTGGCGTCTTTTACCCCGAAGGCCAGGGCAAGAGCAAACCTCAAGACTCCTCATTTGGGAGGGGGGACTGGGATTTCGGTTCCTCCTGTCCCCCTCTTCCTTCCTTTGGCCCACCCTTGCTTCCCCACCCAGGCCATCTGGGTCTGGTCCTGCCCCACGCTCTGCCCAGGCCTTTCGAGACCGGCCCGGAGCAGAAGCATCTCCGCGCACGCGGGCCGGCTGCCGCCCCTGTGAGGGGCCAGCGGT